CTGTCAAATAACTCCCCCGGGGTCCCTTCTTCTCTCAAAGTTTGAGATCTGGAAGGTTGTTGTTTCCCCTGCTCAGCTGGAGAGGGATGTCACTGCAGAGCACTGACAGGGGGAGGTACCACAGTGCTTTGGCACTTCCTCAGGTGAGCAGCTACCAGAAATAAGAGACATTCAAAAGGAACAAAATGCAGCAAAATGCCTTTCAGTAGGTTATGAACAAAGACTGAGAGTCATTAAAGCCAAACATACAGAGAAACTCTATCAGAAGTCAAATGTTTCACTCACTTGATAAAAGTGTCACAGAAGAAACAAGGATTTGAATTTCTGTGTCTGTCAGTGCCACTTCCCACGGTGACACAGGAACATCTCATCCACAGCAGTCAGGGAATCATGACACTCTCCCTGCAGACTCAGGAAGGAATGGAAAGTGAACATTTAATAAACAGAAGCTGAGGAAAACAAAGCAATTATGGATCTGCTCTTCCAATACACTAAAGATTAATTGCTCCAGAATTTTGCTTGAACTGATGAGAGAAGATTTGTCAAAGCAAGAAACCAGTTTTTCAGCATTTGTACAGGAGAAGTTATACTTCTGTAGCTATCCCACATGCTTCTCTTTGTAAGTCAGTCTGGTTTATCCTATATTATCCCTAGAGCTGCTATGCTCAAATCCATGGTTAAGTTACTGGCATTTCTCAGAAAGTAAGAATGAAATCTTTGATCTTATCTTTGCTCTACTGTCCAAAGATTTTATTTCTACTTCCTTAGGAGTAACAACTTTAAAACATTTTCATAACCCTGTCTCTATTATTCAAATAACACCAGATTTTCTGAATATTTTTTTAATTAAAATTGCCTTTTGAAACTGAGTTCAGCTTTTCAAACAGAATAAAATCACATTTTCTTTAGCTTTCCACTTTGTATTTAACAGAGACTTTTTTCTCTTCAGTTACTTTAATTATTTCTCCCTAGTGAAGCTAATGCAGATTTTACAGTATATAAAGATATTGCTCTCTATTTTACAGACTTTTAGCTCAACTATGAGGATGTTTTCTAGCAATACATCAATCACCAGTATAGAGACTTGGTGGCCAAAGTGTTGCTACAAGGTGTTAACATACAAAGCATTCCAGTGCAGAAGATATTAAACAAGGAAAAATTTGTTGTTTCTCTCTCCTGTTCCCAAATATCATCTGGGATGTAAATCTTTACCATGTGTGGAGAACACAATTTTTTCTTTCTCCTTTTCTTAAAACAAAAAGTATTTTTATACCCTTTCTGGCCATTTTTGTCTGCAATCCCTTCACTGGGATGTGGTGAGACCCCAGAAACCTTTTATGCTTCTGGCTGAGGAGTGAGGAATTCATTGAGACCAAAGACCATTGAAGTTCACCACCCTTCCCTTATTCTCTCCTTGGTTTCCCCTGTGTGATGCTGTTGGGTTTAGCTGTAGCTCTGCCTGTTTTCCAGGGTGTTGCAGGGAGGGAGGATGAGGATGTGTGTGTGTGTGAGGGGATTTTGAGGCTTGAGGGACTGGCAGAAAGGGACACAGAGCCTGGAAAGGAGCACTGAAAATGCAGGAACCCAACTGAGCTGTTGAATTCCTCTTTGTGCCGAGGTTAAACACTGGAATTCTTTCCAAGCGATTTTTGGGCAGGTGTGCAGCCTGTTCAGGGTTTTTCTCCGTTCCAGTCAAACACATTTCCGTGCTCTGATCTCTGGGTAAGAAACTCCTGTGGAACAAAGTGTGGCCACTGATATTTGTATTCCCCACACAGTCAGAGCACCCCCACCATCCAGCTCATTACTGAGACTGCTTTAGAATGCCTTCAGTCTGAAAGGTGTTATTATAGTATCAAATCCTACTCCAGTCTGCATTTCAAATTCTTGATTAAAACAGCAGTTTGGGCTAACGGGTTCTCTATTAACATCTCACCTATATACTTTACCCTGAATAATTCTAAATGATTTGTTACAGCTAAGGAAGATTAAGGTTGGTTAGAATAATAGTCTGCTATTACTGCTTCAAATGAGATGTTTATTGCAACAGTGGATTCAATATTATCAAATATTGTATTCTATCAGCTACTGCCTGTGATAGAAGCTCCTAAACTTCTGTGGAGAGTGGGAGCTGTGAGATTGGGCTCAGCATCATACACTGCTGTCACATGTTCTTTGAATATAGAAGGGAACAGAAGACTGAGAATTAATTTTGTCATTCATAGCAGAATGAAATTAAATTTTGCTTAATAAACTAAACATGCAAACATGCACAGACTGTCTTTGAAGTAATTATTTTATATAGTTAAAGTCTCAAAATATCCTGGCCCAACCCATACTTTTTTGGGGGAAGGGCAAGGGGAGGAATCAGAATCACAGCCTTAATATAGGTAGGTCTATAAAGGCAACCACAAAGATGAAACTAAAGGAAATTAAAACAAGTTCTGGACATAGCAAACCATGGCCTGTTTGTGTTGTGGCTCCCATGGTTCAGCATCAGTTGCTGTGGGCAGAAGCAGTTTGGTACTGAAGGAAACAGTGTCAGAGACTGTGTTTGTCATGTTCCCAAAAAAACAAGTGTAAAAGCACTCACACAATATCCAGGGGTTGTGGTGAAGGGGCAGAGGCCCAATTTAACTCCTGAGGCTCTGAATCCATGAGCAGCTCTGTATCCATCAGGGGATGGCAACCCCTCCAGTGACTCAAACATGCAGTAGACTGATTCATCTAAATGCCTTTCTGACATCCCCACACACAGGAAAAATACTGTTGATTTCCAAACAAAATCAAAGGTTAATTTTTAAAACCAAATATGTGAATTTTAAAGGGGATTCCCTTCCTTCTTCAATAACACAGGTCCCCAGAGGAAAGAATTCCCAAAGCTGCAGGAACATGTGCAGGGGTGGCTGGGCCAGGGAACTGCAGCCCCAGGGATGCCCAGGGTGTGAAGGTGGAATTGCACCTGCACAGGTGAATGTCAGAGACCTCGAGGGCAGATCTGCAGAAAGGAAAAGTCAGACATGCATTTAACCTTGTTCATGCCAACTAGAAAGGCTGTGATAAGAAAATTCTTTGTTTTGCTCAGAATCAGTCTCTTGGCTGAACAGAAATTACCCTCAGAACAGGAAAAGGGATCTTTGCAAAAAGAAAAAAAAAGGTGGATCTCAGTAGAATGTTCCAGATTTTATAAAACTATTTTTCTTAATGAAGAAATGTATCATCAGAACTCACTTCTAGGAAAAAAATCTTTCATTGTACTTTTGTTTCAGTTGCAAGCTTTGTCACCATAATTATATTACTTGTTTCATAAGATAAAGCTCTTCTAGAAACTAGCACTGTGTTTGCATTTCTATTAATTATTCTGTTTGCACGTTATCTTGAAAACACAGTGCTTGTATTACATTTCCTTTTGTCTACTGTTTATTTTGAAGGCATAAAATTCAGCCTGTGCAGCCACCTACAGAACTCTTAATAAGTAATTCAAATGTTTGGTTATTAAATGAAACTCAGATTCTCAATTCAATTTAGGGTTCAGCATTTGCTCATTCAGTGTTCAGAATCAATTTGCTCTCTGCTGACACTGTTGATTTTAATGCTCATCCTGAAAAAAGAGGTTTCTGCAGCTGTATCTTTCAAACACACATAAACCAAAATTTTTACAAATGTAACCTGTGTTTCTTTCCAAGTTTACCAAAATTATGAAAATCCCTAAATGGTTATGAAGAAAAACAACTTCCCCTGGTTGAAATATTAGTGAGGTGAGGTTGCCCAGACACAACAGCAGAGATAATGTTTTTCAGGTACATTTCTACATTTTTCTTTACAAGGTAAGCACAACTTCAGATTTTCAGACTGCTGTCTGATGGTGATATATGAGGTTTACATTCTTTTTCTAGACTTTATTCTTTAGCCATTCAGCTATTTGCAACTTACTCTCCACTTAAACAAAAACCTAATTTTGTTTTGTTGATTTTCAGGCATTGTGGTCTTTCTTGAGAATACTCAGTTATCTGCTAAATACTGTATGTGGCAGAGTTTTCTCTCCACTGCACTAATAAAGATTAGAGGGAAATAGAGCTCCTGTGATTAAATTTGCTTGTAAGAGGATAATAGATAATAAATCAGCAGCAATAATGGTCTGTTACAATTAAAATGCAAGAATTAAATGACCACCTTATGACAAAACATTTCATAAACCATGAAAAGTAATCTCATTAAGAAGTATAAACTTAAAAAAAATAAAAGAGTACAGCTGCCTATGCCAAAGGTTTCACATGATTTTGAAGTTATTATATCAAAGCAGTTACAAAAATGGAATTTCATGCCAAGTCATACACAAATTTAAAGGGATGGGCTGTCAGGTATTAACACAATTTGTATTAACTCCTGTTGTCAAATATAAATTAAATGTCAATAATCATTTAAGTGTTATGTTAATATTTGAACTCAAACCTCTTTTTAAAAAAAACCCAAATCATAATGAAGTCACTCTGTCCTAAGTCACAAATAACAAGAAGAGCAGATAAGACATGAGTGAGTGTAAATTGGTGTAATCTGCCTGCAGGCTGTGAGATCCCACTGTCACACAGCTGAAGATGTGGCCTTGGCTGATTTTTCTTTAGGAACTGTTTATAATAAATTTGTAATAAATACACCTATTTATTACAAATAGCTCATGCTCTTGGGTTTTCTGCTATCCAGAACTCTAGAACTAAGTCAGAGTGAGCTCTCTGTGAGAGAACAAAAAGCAGTGAGCCAATGACAGAGAGAAATTCTTCACACTGAAAAATTACCTTTCTGGACAGGCATGTGCAGCTCCTCCCAGGTCCTGTCACAGCAGGGCTGGCACAGGCTGCTCTTCCTAAAAAACCTTCCCAGGAGAGTCAAACCCTGGGTGTGGTGATGGGAGAGCAGGAGGGGTGGGGTGTTCCCAGGGGGGTGTGATGGGGGAGCAGGGGGAGGGTGGGGAGTTCCTGGGGCTCAGGGGATCCCCTGACCTGTGTCAGAGGATGGTCCCTGTCCCACCCTCTGCAGTTCAGGCCTTGCACAGCAGCTCCATCTCTGCAGACAACAAAATCCTGTTTGTGATCTGAAAAGGCTTTGAATGTTTTTGACCATGTCCAGTTAGGGGGTCCTCCAAGGGGACATTCAGAATCCCCAAATTCACCTTGTCATGCTCTGTTCAGCACAGTCTGGATAGAGAGGACAAGTTCCACACTGTATTTAACTTCAGAAAATAAGGTATGTTTATATATTATCTACCAGGATTTATAAATTATCTACCAGGATAATTGCTCTTCCTTGCACCAATACTATGTTATTGGTGTAATACAATAGCTCAGTGGAAAATAAATCTCTCAATTCAATGTACAATCATAAATAGGGTAACTGTTAATCCCTGCAAATAAACTGCTCCTATATTTCCACCTCTCTAAATCCATTTTCTCCCTTTAGATTTAAATAAAGTGTCATTTTTCTCTAAAATACATTCTAACTTCTTCATGTTCACTTGAGTCATTTTTTTTTTATTGTCTGTTTCAGTGAGATCTTTGTGCTTTACAGACCCTCCTGAGCCTCCAGGTGAACATTATGACAAATGCCAAAAGCTCTTTCTGAGGTTTTAGTAGCAGCAATATCATCAGCAACAAATCAAAGACAATCCAGGAAATTCTTGTCAATGATCTGTTCTCCCTTGAAGGCTTTGGACAAAAGGTAAAATAGTGGCTGGGACAGTGTCTTCCTGTCTAATATATCACTTTAACTTCTGTCTTAACTTCTCTTGTCAGGTGTAAAAGCTGTTAGACCAGTCAGGCAGACTCAGCTGAATTTAGCTTCATTTATTTACCTCTGTCTTATGTGTTTTATACAAAGAATCTCCAAGTGCTTTAGAGCTGAAGACAAGAAACAGGAGTGGAATGTTGTAATGAATGAGATCCAGCTGCCCTGGTACACAGAGAAAGAGATGGTTTTTGAAGATGGACGAGACCTGCAGAATGGGGATAATAATTAGGCACAGCAGGAAACAAAGACTGAGATTTGAGTCTTTCCAAACCCACGTGTGTGAATTTATTACTAATATCCCTGTGCATTCTCCACTGGAAAACATACAATTCCCAGCTAACCAACAATTGGTAATGAAGGCTTTATACTGCTCCTGAAAATCAAGCAACACAAAGTACTGGGTAAGGAAATTGCACTGATGTGACCACACGTGCTTTTGGTCAATCTCATGCACATTTTTGGACTTTTTCCCAAGATAGTTCACAGGATAATGCAGGAGGAGCAAGGCTGAGCAGCAACGTTTTCTTCCAAATTCTGCCTCCAGCAGCACCAACTTCCCCCCCTCACTGACTCCTGGGGTCCTGTTAATGCAACAAAACTGGGAAATTCTGGTCTTAGAATTTCGGTAAATTACGGGAAACATATAAAGGATTTTCCTTCCCATTTTCACAGAGCAGTAGAAGTTCTTCTTTTTCAATACCTCTCAAGCACCTCCACAACTGACAAACCAGCTTTTTTCAGACCTGGGCTGTTCTCCACGAGAGTCAAGGACACTGTTCCCTGCAGGGCTGAGTGAGGGATCTGCACATACCCACAAAATCCTCTCCAGCTTCCTGGCTTATGGAAAACGAGAGGAAAATCAGCAAACAAAAAGTATTTGCATCTTATGAAACTATCAGAATGTGCTTCCCAAAAGACCAGAATCCTGCACTGGGTAAGGATGGGCAAGGCCCATTCCCAAAAAAATTACCAGATTTGAGGGTTTATTTGTTGCTGGAGTTTTTCTTCTTTGCTTTTTTTTTTTTTTTTAATCCCCTTCATTTTTAATAAAAGAATCTTCTGGAAGGAAATCAAACGGATTAAACTATGGGCTAATTATATAAGTAAAGTTGCATTAGATAACTAAATCAAAAAAGAAAACATGAATTACTTCAAATCAAATCTGTCAGTCTTTCACTGCAGGGGGCCACTTGAATGTGTGGCATTTTAGCACCACATTTGAATCTGTATTTACATTTACATTTATTGCTTCCAGGAGACAGCAGTTTCCCTATTCTAAGCAAAACAGTACTAAATCAATATTCTTGTAACATATCACATACAAAGGGTGCCAATCTTTAAGGGGAAGGGAAGCCTTGGAAAAAGAAGGGGGGTAAAAATGAATTGTGCCTTTCTGCTCGGGTTTTGTCCTCCAGCCAAAGTCCATTTTTTAATACCTAGTTAAAGGCTTCCCACTGCTGCTTATGCCTGGACCACCTGTTCCCATAATGCCCTCAAATCAGCAGGTTTTGGCACTGCTTTATATAGTTCATAAAAACACTAGTTCAACATCAGGCATTGGGGGGGATCAGTCCCAACCCTGTGATCCAAATACTTTTTCATTCCCATAAAACCCCAAATGGTTTTAAGTAGGAGGGAAAGAAGGAAAAATATCAAATAAAGTTCAAGTTGGTGAAGTGAAGGAAAAGGGACTGGGAAGAAAAGCCCAAAGTGTATTTGTAGCATGGATGTTCCAGGGAGGGAGAAAGGTTCAAAGAGGAGGGGGGAATGTAAACCATCATTTGTGGAGTTAAAGGAGTGCAAATGATGAATAAAGAGGCAACTTGTCCACTGATGGATTACAACAGGAAGAGCAGGTGATGAATCATCTGACACAGAGAGGTGAATGAGTGAGGGATAAAGGAGCAGAGTCAAGGGGAGAGGAGAAGGGGCAGTGGTAGGTGGCTCACAGATTAAACAGGCAGGTGAGCTACGTAAATAATTATTGAGTGCCACTTTGAAAAGCTCTCTGAATTTTAAATTTTAAATTTACCTTCACATCTGGCCTCTCACAAAACTTTATCAGTGTAGGTGTATATTCACATCTGGAAGAAAATATCCTAAACACAATTACAAGCCTTTTATGTTCAGCTCATAAGAAACTTTTCTAGCTGCAAAGCTGGAGCTTCCTTGTCCCTTTTCTTTAAGTTCCTCTGTTACTCCAGACATCAGAGTTTCCAACAGCTCTCACCTCAGGCACTGAGATGCCATTGCCATGGCAGGAGCTGAGGAGGAGGAGGAGGAGCTCCTCCTCTTTCTGGGATGAAGAGCTTTTCAATCCCTCCCATTAGAGGAACAGGCTCCAGCCTTGGCACTGTCCTGTCCTTTGCCACCCAGTCACAGGGTGTTATCCCAACATCCCACACTGCAGTGAAGCCCAGCTTTTTAAATAAACAATTCCAGATCTCAAACATTTTATCCACTAAATCCAAAATGATTTTTTCCATACTTTCACAGGTCAGAACTGACTGTAGGACCTGCTCTGTGCCCTGCCTGTTCCTGGAGGAGGGAGAGGCTGGCTCAGCTTCCCCTGAGAACAACACCATCCTCAGCTGAGAGCAATGGTAGTCCTGCAACTTGAAGAGGGGTTGAGAGACAGGTTAAAAAGGCAGTTCTTTGTATGAAATAGTTCAGGAAGGTAGAAAAAAAATTAATGATGGAAGAGAATACGGGTTTTTCTGAGCCATCTTGTACCTGGCAGGGCTGATACAGACCCAGAGCCAATAAAGTCTAATAATGTCCCTGCTCATTCACTCCAGTGTCTCTGCTTGGACATTTACAATTCTGGGTAAATAGTAGGTCATTAGAGCTGGGTTTGCAAAGAGCTGGCTCAGATCCTTTGGCCTCAATGCTTTCATAATGTACTTAATGGTTTCTTCATATACTTTAAAAGCTTCTGTAGCTCAAATGTTTCACCATCCATAGAGATCTGCAATCCAGAAGATGAGAGAGTCAAAAAAATAGTCTTTTTGGACAATTAAACCCAATCTTTTTATCCTAGACAAAGCAGAAACCCATTTTTTTTTAAATATTTAAGGAAATTACCACAACATGAATGCAAACAAGTACTACAGTAATGTAGATCCTGCTTCAAATACACACCTTCCTGTGGGATTCTGCTCATGTAAATACCATCCCTTTTTATTTTTTTAGATTTCACCAAGCATGTGAAGTGAATACTAAGAGACATTGTTGAATTGAAGACAAATTATTGAAATAAATTTAGATTTTCTTAGTCCCTAAAGCTGAATTGAAAAATGAGTGCTCTGTTCCTCTGTCATGCAGGACTGAGCCCTTGTTAACACGGCCTTTGCCACATCAGGACATGGAAGCAGACAGAATTTATTAATATTTTCTGGTAACAAAATATACTAAATTGCACTTCTTGTTAAGATGTTTAGCCTGTTCTTTTCTACTTCCTTCCAGGAGCATTAAGTAAATTTGTCTTCAGAGAGCCACATTTATTGTGTTATTGTAATTTCTTTTTGAGAACAAAAGGCCTATAATTCTGCCTTCTTTGACTGAGGCCACAGTCATTTTGTTTGTCCCCACAAAGGACTTGGGACTCCTGCCCTGGATTTCCCTCGGTTCCCATCCTCCCACCAACTCTGACCACGTGCATCTTCCTCCCCTTTTGACATCCTCCAGCTGGGAACTGTCAGCTGGGTTTGCTGCAGCAGCCCCAGGTGCTGCCGTGGCCTCTGGAGCAGAGAAGAACATCAGCCCTGAGAACATCAACCCTGAGAACATCAGAGCAGAGAACATCAACACTGAGAACATCAGCCCTGAGAACATCAGCCCTGAGAACATCATCAGCCCTGAGAACATCATCAGCACTGGGAACATCAGCCCTGAGAACATCAGCCCTGCTGGGAAGAGCTTAGTGCTGCCTCCAGAATCTGCCCCCGTGCTGCAGGACTCTGGCACATCCACACTCTGTCTGCTGGCAGGAAAATAACAAAAAAGAAACAAACCAGCTCTCAACACACCCAAACATCCAACTCTAGCTGAAGTTAACTCTTGCTTCAGTGAACACAGAAATCTGACTATATCTGCTTCAAACAGCAAGGCTGACAATGAGAACATCACTTATGCAACCCACACTCAGTCTCCTGCAAAGCTGCAAACATGATACAGCCACAGAGGAAGAAATTCTGTCAAAATTCATGTGGTTACTGTTGCTTGGGAAACCACTTCCTTGGTAACTCCAATGCATTCTCAGCACGTCTCAATATCAATTTCTCACCAGCTCTCAGACACACAAACCTGCAGGATGGTGTGAGGAGAGAGCAAGGGAAACAAAAAACCAATAACAACAAAGCCAACCTAAAGAAAAAAGGAGAGAGGGAGCAAAAGATTTGTTATTGCTGTTGTTTCCAATATGTCTAAATGAAAAATAACATAATCGAAAATATATCTGGAAGTTGTTTTTAACATTGTTTGGAGGAGAAATTGTTGAAATATGTCAGTAAGTGTGTCTTGAATCCTAAGTGTGAGGTTGGAGAGAGGTGCCTGTGTGGCTCTGGAGAGCTGGCACTGAGCCTGGTACAGGGAGTTGGCTGCCACTGGGATTTTCTCTGTTCCAGTTTATCAGGACATTTGTTGCTGAATCCACACCACACTTCAGAATTCAGCTTCAGCAAATATCTGTTGCGAATAACTCATTAGTATTTTAACCATAATTCCTAAAAAGCCATTCCAAGCCCCAAGCCCTCCCAGAGGCTGCTCAGGGGTGCCCTGGTGCTGTGCCAGCAGGGGATGCTGCTGCTGAAGCAGAGCCCAAACAAGGGAGTCTCTGCTCACAGGGACCGACTCCAGCTCTTTGCACAGAATGCAAAACTTGGGTTATTCACCTTTCCATACCAAAACCTGGTCTCCTGCTTACCTGCTCCTCCAATTGCTCTCTAACAGGGCCATGCAGGCAGCTCAGCACAGGTTTTGTTCATGGGCGACATAAAGGAAACCTAATTTTTATATCAAACAAATGGAAGAAATATTCTACTTGTAGCACCAGCCATTGTTTTTTCAGGTTTGCTTTTTCTGGGTCTTCCATCAGAACCATTACTGTATCATTCCAATAGCCCAAATTAAATAATAGGGAGAAAGAGAGAAGAGGAAGCACTGAGGATTAATGTCCATTGGGTGTGCTGTGCACTGTTCTCACAGGGCAGAGCAGACTCCACAGCCTGGGCACTGCACAAATGGGCACTGGAGGTCTCTTTTTCCACAGCTGGAAGTGGCTGGGGTGGCAAATAGGAGGCAGCAGGACCTCTCCCCTGCTTCATTTGTGTTAACTGGCTTAGGACAGAGTGCCTAAGAAAGCATGAAAAATAAAGACATAAGGATACTACAGAAATGGTTTAAATCACACTGATTCTCACTGTAACCAACTGCTCTTTGCATGTGTGTCTGTTTAAATATATGGACTTGTGTCTGTACATAGACACACAGACACTCCTGCCTTTTCAAGGACAGTAATACCTTCTTTTTTTACTTCTTTGCAGACAAAAAATTAACTGTCTGAAGTTATTTTGTTCTCACAGGAGGAGCATCAGCAGAAACCATTAATAGCGTCATTTTAACACCTTTAGTTCAAGCACTGCCTTCCTCCCACACTCCAAATGGCAGAGGAGAGACGTCAAACAGCTCTTCCAGGAACTCAGGAACTGCTGGAGTCAATGGGAACACAAACTGCAGGAACAACCTCATCCCACTCCTGGGGCTGCTTCCTGCATCAAACACAGGGACACATTAGAAACGTGAACATGGCACACAGAGCTTCTGGTTGTTTCTCTGGGAATGCAGCAGGTTGGATTCCTGCAGGGTGAAGTGGGGCTGGGGAGAGGGCAGGAATGAATCCCTGCCCTGAATCCTGGAAAGGGGATGAGGGAGGGATGTGACAGGTCTGGGCAGCAGCAATGGAAAGGGCAGGATCTCTTTTGGTCATGGAATGCCTGGGTCAGAAGTAGTTTCTCATCAAGTATAATGTCTTAATTTATAAAAATAAATGAGAATGCCCAGAGCAGTTGGACTGGTGGTGTGTTGTGCTGCTGTCCTCAGGTAGCTGAAATCCTTCTTCAGCATTTGGAGAACGACAAAGGACCCTGGGAGCTGCCAAGTGTCCCATTGCTGAGCCAGCACTGAGAGTGTCCTGGCAGAGCTCCTGCCCCCTGCACAGCTCATCCCTCCAGCCAACAGCCCCAAGGGGCCACTGGGATCAACGGGATTTCAATCCTGATGCCATGAAAGCTCTAGATGGGAATGGGAACTTGTTGGTCTCCTGGTGCATAATTATTGTTTCCAAACTATTCTTTGATGAAAAGCAGGAAGTTCTGTAAAGAAAACCAAACTAAAACAACCCAACAAAAACAAAAGCCAAAAACAAATGGGAAAAAAAGACAAAAGGGAATGGGGATGACTCTGGGTTTCTGCTGTATTTTTTTAAGAAGTTTTCAAGGGTTATATATTCCAGAAATGCACATGTAATAGAGTCTCCTTCCTCTCCTGTCAGCAATACTGTAGTTTGAATTTAAACACTGCAGTGAGACTCCTTCCCTGGCTTGGATGAAAGAAAAATGCTTGAGTATACCAAGTTTATGTGTAAAAATCTATCACTGTGATCTCACCTATAAATTTGCATCTTGTAGAATAGTTATATATTATCAATACAATAATTTATAAATATATCAATTAAACATGGCACAGGCTTTCCTAAGCATAAAACTTGCTTGTGTGTCTAGAGTTTGTTGAATATTTCACCATTGAAAAAATATTTCACCACACCCAAAAAGAACTGAGGCCAATATCAGACACATGTGAAAAGCAGCCTCTGGTGCCATGGGATGCCAGGTTTGCCCTTCCATGTGGCTCTTTTCAGGAAGCACCACGTAAAACCACACAGTGCCAGGGGACTTTAGGATTTCCCTTCATCATTTCCTAACTCACTTAAATATTTGTGGGCTACTGAACCACCAGGGCTCCAGGTTTTGCTGAGCCATTGTCCCCCGGGGTGGCTGTGTGAGAAACACTCCTACAGCCCCTTCTGTGGGTTATGAAATGTACAGACAACAGATATAAATCCTTGTCATCGTGGTGCCCTGTGCTGACTGCACTGCAGTGATTGCATCTGTCAGCTTGCAGTGATTCAAACATCTATGTTTAGGGAAGTATTTCATCATACCTTCTGTGTGGAGTTCCTGATGTCTTTCATTCTGCTCCTTGAATGAAAAAATGTTCTCCAGACTGCAAAAATTCATATAAGATGAACCAACCCAAGCCAGTATCTTTGAAGTCTCTATACATTGACATTTAACTTTCTGTCTCCAAACACCAGCTAAATGAGAAACTGCCACTCTCACTTGGACCACAGCTTGATTCCCCCCAGCACACCAAGTAACATCTCCCTTCAGGAGGACCCCACCCAGTCAGGGTGGGATGACTTCCTAGAAATGCTCTAGACAGAGAAAACTTTGGGAAAAATAGAAGCTTGATTTTAAAAAATAGTCTTTTATTATCCCATAAGATCAGAGGCTCTCTCTGTCACTCTGCCTTTAAATAGATAAATATTCCTGCTTCTTGCATATTGCTGGCTTGATTCAAGGAAAACCATCCTGCTTTTTCAAAGCCAGGGTGTGTATATTTGATTTCTCAGAGGATTCAGTTAAGTCTGCAGTCCATGGGACTGAACTGAGATCATTATTCTTGCCTTTCAAGAATTCATTTGCAGGTACATCAGGTTTTCTGTCCATTTTTTAAAGTATGTTTGCCATACATCTTTTATCATGGAATGAATAATAAACCACCATTTATCTTTCACCATGGTGCAGATCAAGGTACTAATTTACGTTGCCTCAGTGTGCAAGAGATACTGGATTTTTTGGAGATGAAGCACAATGTGATTAAACCTGTTTCCAATATGGTTTCGTTACAGAATTTTGTCAGTGCCTCTGAATTATTCCAAAACATTCACAGAAAGCTTTATTGCTCTTCAATATTAGAATACATGGATAAATTTTCAAAAGAAATGTTTTTAATATATGAGATTCCTCTGAAGGGGTTTTGCACAGACACAGTAATTAAGGAGTGTTACTCAGAGAACAACTGGGCTGGAATGTGGGGATTGTAGTCAGAGCAAGGATTGACACAGAACAGGGACAAACATCCATGGCTCTTGCCCCTTTGGCTGCAGCCCCAGTCCCTGGGATGTTGGTATTCTGGGCCATTCCCACACTTGTTGAAATATTCATCACACTGAGGAAGGGGGATTTGGAACATTGCCCGTGATGTTACGAATCAGGAACAGCAACATCCCAAACCTGGGCTCCCACAGCAGCCCACTGCTGCTCTCTGATGTTTTCATAAACTTAATTTGCACGGTTTTCATTTGTTGCAGTTCAGAATAAAGAACAAATGTCAAAGCCCTGCAATTTTAAATGAGCTTCCATTCCTCAGGCAGCCTTCCCTACCATTTCTACAGAGCTCTCCTGTGGCCCAGAGGAGTCACATTATCATAGACAAAATCCAAACACGCTCCCATGGAGTCCAGGTCTCCTCCAAAATAGGATAAACAAGCAATTTGTGTAAACACGGGTTCCACCTTCCCCTGGAGCTGCAGGGAGCTCAAGACAAGGCCCAGACAAGGCAGGATTTGCAGAGGAGCACCCAAACCAAGACCCTGTATTTCCAACATCCCTCTAAACCCCAGGCAAGGAGCACAGGTGGCACCTTTAGGGCAGGTCCAGAGAACCCCACTGGGCAGTGGGAGCAGAGGGAAAGCAGGGATCTCCCAAGGAAAGGTTCACAGAGCCTTAATAAGACATTATTTTCAGTCCATGGCTACTCTGTTCCTTGGGTACTAAAGCCCCACCTGGAGACTCCCCCTCAGAGGATCCTGGGTTAGGGGATCCCACAGCACATGAACCCCAATTGTACCAGTGGTTTTTAGGACTGAGCACAGAGCTAAGCCAGTGACTCCCTTTCTCTCTTTCTCCCTGTTCTTCCCCACCCACCCCCAGCTCCATCCTCTCCCTCCACCTTGTCTGTATCTATGGTGACCAGACAGCACAACTCTGTTCTGCTCTTGAGTAACATCCTTTATCAACACATTTACTGACACATGCATCAAAGTCCTAAGCAAGCCAGGTAAGCCACAAATGATTCAACAGGCCACTATTATACAAATAAACCTTTTCCTTCCATCCCGAAACCACAGGGTTCAGAATGAAAATTGGCAAGAGCACAGTTTTTCCTTTCCTACCCTTAAAAGGTGGCAGCTGTGTGACATTATTGATCACCAGGGCCCTGGGGGGCTCAGGCAGCAGCTCCTGAGCTCTGGGACAGCAGCTCCTGACAGAACCAGTCCAATGGATTCTTGCATTCAGCCCCTGCTAAAACAGTGGCAAATCACAGGACAACACAAAAACAGCTGGCTTGGAATTCCAAACCTAAACCCCAGACCATGCACAGGGCTTAGGAACCTGATCCACACTTCTGCAGACAAGCAGGCTCCAGTGCCATGTAATGGAACTAAATGCTTGAACCCAAGCAGATTTTTTCCTTAAATTTAGCTTATTTCTTTGAATAATATTAATTGTTCTAGATACTTCATTTTCTTAACACTGAGCTTATATCCATTTCACATTTCCACAAAAGTGAGTAAAGAGAGAGTCTGGTCAAAAAGAAAAGTTTTTTCTTTTAGTTACTCCTCTCATTACACCACAGTAATGAGACACTGTAAATACAAAACATACCCATAATTGTGGGAAGTACTTGTGTGAACAATGAACTGGATGTTGCTCATGTTACACTCGAAGTTATCTCAGTGACACTGAATTTTCTATATTGTTACCAATGAAATGGAAAAGAAAAATGAGGCAAAATGAACAATTTGACTTGGGAGCAGTAGTTTATGAAAAGATCACTTCATTTTTTTAAAGAGGACAAGGATCTTAATTGAATTGATGAACTATTTTCCTATGCAGGAGTAGCCCAAACAGGGAAGAATAACAGTACAGTATTTCCAGTTGTCTTCCCAGAGCAGTAATTACAGTCTACATTAACCTTTACCATTCAAAAGCCAACCTATGAACACTCTGGTTCTTCACTAAGATCAGCTCTAAAAAAACTTCTTTCATTATTTATGAACCTTCAGGTTATGCATGAACTTTCCTGAGGTCCAGGGAAGCTCATCAGCTCCCAGGCTTCACCCACCTCACAAGGTTCAAATTTTACATCCTCAAAACTTTCTGCCCCAGCCCCTTGACATTTCCCTGAGCCCATTTGCAATGGTGATGTGTGTATTGTGCATTTCCTTGGCCCTCCTTTGGGTCCATCTCTCACTCAGCACTCTGAAGTCAAAGGAAGTTGCCACCACCACTGCAGAAACAGGGGTTTATGCAAACACAAAAAGACAAGTTTAGCAAATTGCCTAAGTAAGGAAAGCATTTGTCATAGACTGTGGTTTAGGATGTATTTTAGTAGCCCTTCAGGCCTTCAGATGAACAAACCTTAATTAAACTTACATTTTGAAAAATGTGGTTTTAATTCAATTGAATTAAACTCTTTCAGTGCATTGCTGGTAACAGACACGACTGACTTCAGGCTACTTAGAAAATCAGGGACAGGACACAGAGCTGGAAAAAGTTCAAGAGAACCATCCTGAGTCTGGTCCTTTAAACCAGGACATTGAGACATTTGAGATCCTCTGACTATTTTTGATCATTTTATGGTGATTTAGAGAAAAATCAAACCAGAAATCCTTTCAATTTTTCTTGCCTCTCTTCTTCCCCACATTCACTTAGAAATTTCTGCTCAGTGGAATATATTATGGGCTATTTAACCCTGTCAAGAAGCCATATCAATTAATAGCATAATAGTCTTACCATATATTTTTCTTATTATACACTAAAGCTTTATGACACAATTTCTGTGGATGTACTTCTTGTAGATAATGATTTATAGTATATAGTATCCTGAAGGCATTTTAAATCTGTCTGCTCCCTTTCTGCCTTCTAAGAAGGAGAAATTTTAACGGGGAATCAGACTTTTATGCCCTTTTTTTAATATAATTTTGTAAAAACAGGCTGATATTTGAAGGATTCTTATAAAAAAATGGCAAAAAGCTTTTAAAACTCAAAAGGCACATTTGGAAACTACACAAGTAAACTGCCATTATCTGTATGTCAGGGCAACTTGTGCTTCACAGTCCTTGCTGTCCACTTGCTGTGCAAAGTGCTCAGGAGCAGAGGAAACCATGAGCTCCAGGAGCCAATCTGCCACTGCTGTCTGTTCATGCAGCCTGATAGAATTTACATGGGCTGGCAGACAAAATTGCCCTTTGCATGCTTTGTCTCCAGGGGAACTTGGAAGAATGTCCAAGTTTTATAAAATAATGATAATCACACAATACACCAAGCACAAACAGCAGATTTTCCAGGGGCCTTTTCTGAGTAAGTTAAATCTGTGGCCAAACAGAAGATAACAGATAATACTTAAAAGAAAAGGAAAAGCAACCCATTTCTGCATCAAAGTTAAAGTGGGTCACTCTGCAACGTAAAGCACATTTTTAGTGGCTATAAATTTAGCAGCTCTCTGCAGCATTATGCATGACAGCAGTCTTGTGATATTTCAAGTACAGAACAGGTCCCTGGAGACACCATGTAATTTATAGTGGACTAATCATAATAAACTGTAGCAGGCAGAAAAGGAGCTGAGTCCAATGAAATAAGGAATGTTGGTCTGTTGTCCTGTAGGAACGTTGTGTTGAAGATCCAACTCACCTGAGATCACACAGGAACAACGGGAAGGTTCCTCTGTTGGGTGAGGGAAAAAAAAGCCAAAATAGAGGATCTGTTGGTGTTTCAGAGTAAGAACTCAAAAGAAAGCAAGCAGAAAGGAGCACAACACACTTCTGGAGCAGAGGAATACCAGGAGCTGTTACCTCCTGCTGCTTTCCTGTGAGCAACCTGAAACAGGGAAAAGCAGGTGATGGATGGCTGGGCTGCAGCTAAAGGACAGGGACACCTGCCAGGCCAGGGGAGCACTGGTGTTTACCTTGAAATCTTACAGCATGAGGGAGAAAACAACCTTTGCTTTTCATCTGCCTGTCCCTTCCATTTTTTTTGTTTCTTCCTTTTGTATATTTTTGTCTGGATGTCATATAAAGGGTTTGTTCCCCTCTCTTTCTCTCATCCTTAATTAGTTTGAATGTCAAACCTGTTCAGTAATCACACTGCTTTGGGTAGTAATGAAGGCAAATAAATAATACTTATCTTTCTTAGAGAGATCTAGAGACCCTTCCAAAGCCAATTAAGGCTTGTATTATTAGCCAAGGTCTTCATGTTATATTTCCAAACTTGTGTAAGAAAGAAAATGCTAAAATTAATGGTGAGGGAGGAGGAAGAAAAAATTTGTCCTTCCTACAGTCTTAAACCCTTCTAATTTTAAAGTATGTTCTGAGTGGGAGAAAAAAGAAGAAAATAAATTAGGCAATGCAGTTTGCACTTCTTTGCTGCTTGGGAGGATGGGAGGGAATTAGCTGGATTTCCCCTCACTGGGGTTCTTCTTCTTTTTTCCCCTTTTTCTTTCCAGTGATTTTTTTTCTGTCTGTTTGACACATATCTCTCCCTCAGATATCTTTTGAATGATGACTAACAACAACAACAATAAAAAAGCCTCAATCTTTCATAACCTAAAATACTGAAGCACATCAAAACCAATTCAATTTGTCTGCAAATCTTGCAGATAAATCTTGCTGCCCTGACAGGGAGGTTTCGATCTGTTTATTACCCACATTCCTTCTCTTGGCAATGTCTTCCCACCTGAAGAAACAATTTCCTTGCGTGACATGGGAGTGGAGATCTGAAGATCTGACCCTCACCAAAGGGACTGCACCCATCCTACCATGACCAAACCAGCCTCTGTGCCCTGGGTTTATCCCTGCACATCTTGCCCTTTGTGCTGCTGTCACAGAGCATCTGCCAGGACTCCATTCCCTGTCACCTGCAGGACATTTCCCTCCTGGGCTTGCCTGGGATGTCTCTCCACATACCTTCACCAGCATCAGTGCCACAAGATTTCAACAAAGGGTTGCAGATTAAAGTCTGACATGATCAGTCAGACTCTTCAGAAAGGATCTTTGGAAATGTTTAACAAGGAGAACTCAAAGGTCACAGTCCAGTTTCACATGGGCTTACAAAGAGTACAGATGTACCAGCCAAGCTGAGCCCTGTGAGCCCACATTCCATGGACACACAGAGATCTCCACTCAAGGACCACTGGGGAACTAAGGAGCAGCACAGCTGGAAAGTGCACAGTCTGCAGGATTCAGGTTTTAAAGCATTTGTAGGGCAGCCCAAGCAGCCTCTGTTCCCTTGGCTCCTCCTTTCCAAGCAGAGCAGGCTCAGGGCAGTGCTCTCAGCTGGGAGCTGCCCCGAGCCATCCCAGTGCCCAGATCAGTGCAGTCTGTCAGCTCTGACAACCTGGCACAAAGGGGAACAAATACTTTTGTTCCAAGAATAAGATGTATTCAAAAGTTCTGCCCTGACATTGAAGTAAACACTCCTTCTGCCCCCAAAAACCTGCCTGGGCCAGTCCCAGCCAAGGCAAACGTGTCTCCTTTTGTATGAGCAACTCTCATCACCTGAACACCCAAACCCCATTTCTCCACAGAACCATCTTTTTTTAAATTTGTCACTTGCCTGGACTCATCTGAACACCACAATAAATCAGTCACTCCAAATATCTCTCAAGAATAACAAGCATTACAAATTAATAATGTCATGCTGGTCATTAATTTTGATAACCAAAGCATGTGGGTTACTGAACATACTTGCTATGTAGTTGTAATGTTACATTCCCTTAATATGCAGCAGTTACAATGTGCTCCGTGCCAGGGCCCATTATTTCACTGCTTCACAGCTGTTCAGTATTTGACAGATGCATAATTTCATTCTTTAACATGCTGATTTTCCTTTTATTAGTTAAGAACTGAGATGTTAGATAATTTTTGTCATGTTTTGTTAATTTTAGATTATAAAGATATATTCAACAGTACAATTTCCCAATAAGAAGTTGCTATTAAGGTTTCTAATTTGCAATCAAGTAAATTGAATGAGGGAGAGGTCACGTTACACAAGTCATGACGTGTTAAAGCTCAGAATAAAGGAAATAAATTATTCAAATACTCTATAGTACTAGTCTTATTTTTGTGCCAGTGAATTTGATATGACACCTGTTAGGATGTGATAACATTAAATACATTCATAGATACAGACAGGTGAAATGACAGATAGACAATTTTGTTTTGGAAATTATACTCACCAATTAATATTAATATTTTTGGACTCCAAAATCATAAACAGTCTTAAAGTTGAAATATTTGCTTCCTAGCTCGTAGTAATCTCTGAAAATAATGGCCAACAGTAAATCACAGAGTTGTGACAAAGCAGCTGTGCTGACATTTGAGTGTTTTTTCAGAACCTGGATCTCCTGTTCAGAAGCTTCAGAAGATGATGTGGTATTTTAAAGAGGGAAGGCATGAAGTCAGACTAGAGCTTTCTTTAACAGTCTGGAATATTTTACCTCTCATGTTCCATGTCTGTCCCAGCAGGAACAGACCCTCATATTTCTGGGAGGAGGACCCCAGACCTGCCCAGCAGTGATGGGCTCACAGGAGCTCCCTCTGACCAGGCCTCCCTGAGCACATTTCCAGCTGCTGCCCTGCTCTCAGCACCGTCTGACAGAGCACCCCAGAGCCCCCTGGATCCTGTTCCCAGATGCCCCTGGATGGTGTTCCCCAGATCCCCCAGGATCCTGTTCCCAGATCTCCCTGGATCCTGTTCCCAGACACTGCCCTGCCCTGGGGCAGCCCAAGCTCAGCAGCTCCGTGTCCAGCTGCCCCTTCCCGTGGGATCCCTGCCCTGAGGGGGCTCAGAGCCCCCTGCCCGACCCTCCTGCCCCAAACTCCCCCCACTCACCTCAGGGGAGATCCCTCAGCTCCTGCAGCTCTGGGGAAGGTCCTGCCCGACAGAACACAACCACATATACAGAGTTTAGATTTTCTTTATTTATATTTTTTAATTCAAGAATTACACACTAGCCAACATTATTATATATTTACATGCTGAAACTGGCTGCAATAATTTTAAATTCAAGAAAATATCTCTTATGTGCTACTCATTTACAATCATCATTTTACTACCTCATATATCCCAGAGGTTAGCAGTCCTTTTGAGAAAGACATGAAGATCTGATGCAATGATATCCACTAGTATTTTGCATTTTCTAGCCATTGGAAAATGTGCATTATGTGCATATAAGAAAGGCTACAAGGTCATTAGTAAGGCTGATGATTACTACATTATGAAATAAATAGTACTAAGTAAAAAAAGATAAATCAGAACTGTGCAAAGACAGTACTAACAGAACCATTTAAACACCCATGCAAATAAAAATGTGATAGAAGTCAAATCATAAGCAGTTTGTCAGAATTAATCATGTTTCAAATGTTCTTTTTGTCTTCAACTGAAAGTAACAGGACAGACCATGAACAATACAGCCTGGTGAGGATCTGCCAAACGACAGCAACAGTGAAAACATACAAAATGCTATCAAATTGGAATAGATGACCTCATGTCTGAAAAACATTAAAAAAATACAACCCTTAGTATGAAAGTAGAGGTGAGATTTTTCATCATTTAAGTTTCATTTTTTGTCAAAGCACTTACAAAGAAAATAATTTTATACTTATGAAATGTTAGTGTTGCATATTCTTGTAGAGATGATCTATTTCAATTTTATATAATGGATATTTAAATTATTACTATTTTTACAAAGTAGAATAGGGCAGTCTTTTTGATCATCAACATTCCATTTGCTTCTTAAAAATTTAGACAAAGTTCCTAGTGCATTTTATTAAGCTTTACCTTTGGTGTTAAGCAGTGACTTATTAGATTTCCCTTTTAAACAATTTCTGGAGTGAAGGTTCTTTGGCTTTGGGGGACTATGCTATCTAACGACAGTCAAACCTTTTTTTTTTTTTTTAAAGAAAAATAGAAGTCTACTATTAGATACCATAAGAGAGAGAGATTTCAGAGACAGACAGAGCAATGTGCAGCTTCTGCCAGGAAATCCCCAGCTCAGTTCTCACTTACCCTGATGTTCACCTCTCCATCCCTGCAGCAACACCGAGGTGCCTCATGGCAAGTGAAAACCAGGCCCTTTTTTATTTTTTACTGCTGATCCAGCTCTGAGTCCAAGCTCTTGGGGTGCCTGAACGTTGGAACCACACAAAGAGTCACTTGTGCCAGCAGGAACGTTGCCACCACGGCCACTCTACACCACAGCACTTTCTGTACTATTTGATATCTAGAGTCCAAATCTGTTTATGCAAAAGGGTGTTTAAATTACTCTGCTAGAGCACTGCAATTCTTGTACTTAGTAAAAAAAAGTCACTAAACAAATACTGTATCTATGGCCTGCTCATTTACAGCTTATTTAATTATTTACATCATTTTAGGACACATTAACCTAAACCATAAGTAGAATTAGCTTTTTGCCTTACCATAAAGTACAAATTAGAAGTTAAAAATGTTTTAAGAAATCTGATAATATTTACACACGTTCAGCTTAAGTTATGGTTGCTCACATTGGATGTTCTATGTACACAGAGCAAAATGTAATGATCACTACTGATATAGTATTGTACCCTGGCCAGCCCACCCGAGATTATTTTCTAGAAAGAGTTACTATTTTTGCCTTTTTTTTTTCTTGGTTCCCTAAGGAATTGGTTGGTTTTGAAAACTCACTAGTGGACAATGCTGTTATAAAAAGAGAGAAGAAATAGGCAAGCAATGTGAGGACTGGTGTGGTTCAGCTGCAGGAGGTACAGGACTGGCACCAACGCCCCAGACAGACCCAGCCTTGAGCTGCTCACCCAGCAATGCCCAGTTACCCTGTAGAGGAAGTTGTTTGGTTTGCTGAAATACATTAATCTCTTCTTGTCAAAAATATATTCACACACTGGTTGATGGTAGAAACAAAACTAGTATTGGCTTATTCCTTTGACACACCAACAGATGAAAGGGTGTGCATATACCCTGTGTATACACACACATATGTCCATACAGACAGGCAGCTGGGGTCCATATGCACATACAGCTGAGAATGTTCAACATCCCTTCACTCGTGGTTACTGCTGTGTTACAGGACTGGAACACAGTCTAATAATTATAGTGAAAACTAATTGAGGCTTCATTTTAATGCATATTTTTCTGAAATAAATAGGATCTTTTCCCCAGGTGTAAGAACACCACTCATCTTCTCTATGCATTGTGCTTTTGTACCTTACAGATTTTATGTCCTTTTTGTCAGGATGTCAGAACTCTCTGAAGAACTCTGTGACACGCTGTGATCTAACACTGTTTTCCTCCCCTGGGAATGAGAAAAGAAATGGTCACAATGTCATTGCTTGAGTCTTTCTTCCCAGTCATTGAACTGCGATGGGATAGAAACATAACATTCCTTATGCAAACACAGAAACATGTTGCATGAGTTGTCAGTTCTGAAAATGTGTATCACTTACTAGCAGTCATGTACAGAATATATTTACAGATTGATCTCAAATATTTCATTAAAACTGTGCCATGTTATAGTCATAATTCATCCATGAATTTCACAAAGATGAAAAACACCTTAATTGCTGGCTATTATGTCTAATAGAACAATAAAATGTGCAACTATAATTATATTACAAGTTTTATCTAAATTATTCGCTTTGATATTTTGTTTCTTGAAACTAACAACAATTAACACGATTAAAAAGATCTAGAACATTAATTTTCGGTCAATTCTAAAGTAAAAGCGAATTTATTCTAGTTTACCTGGAGGGGAGCACACGTAGCAAACCCCATATCTCGTGTATGTTGGCAGAACTCCTCCCTTTCACTCGAGCACCTCAGGGGAGCAGTGAGGGCTGACCCTGGGCTCGAGTTCCTTCCCCTGGCAGTGCCTCACCAGCCTTCCTCACCCCCACCCTTTATATCACAGTGTTAAGCCTTGGTACAAAATGATAGAATCCTTCTCTTTCACTACTTTTATACATCACATTAATAGCCAGAAGGACATAGGAAAAGCAAAAGTGCTCCTTCCCCCCAGATAATTTCTCTTTCCTAGAGACACCTGAGCAGAAACCAAACATTTTCTGTCACTCTCTGAGCAGCAGCAGCAGAGAGTGTTTATGGCTTGTTCTGGAGCTTCAGTGAGAGAATGGGCAGGTCCAGGGTCCATCTCTTGGGTTTGGGAACAGCTGGAGCAGGGAACCAGTGCAGAGTCAGCAATCCCCTGTAAGCTCTTGGGTTTGCTGGTACCACCCCAGGCAGGTGGGAGCTCCCTGCAGTCCCACTCTGCTCCGGGCAGGAAAACAGAGGCAGCAGCAATTCGGAAGCGAAAGAAAAGCCTTTAGGAAGGATACCATGACACTGCTTTTATTTAGGATAATTAGGACCGTTTCTAAAGAACAGACCTTGCAGAGAAATACTGAACTTTGCTGTGGCTCCATTTCTTAGAAGTGGGAAAAGATTCCAGCGTGGTTCCCAGCTCCCAGCAGGAATCCCAAGTGCACCTACACAGGTTATTGCGTCGAGCGTGAAATGCAGCTGAGACTGAGCCTGGGAGCAAACTGGAAACTCTGCCCTGGAGAGGGAACCCCGGGGGGAGAGTCTGGCCCTAGTGCAGATCTGAACCTGGAGGCAGCAGTGAACGTCCACACAACCTCCTGCCACGGAGGGGGGATGGCAAATCCCAGCTCAGGCTCAGGAACCAGCCCCTCCCAGGGGAAGCAGAAATAAGCACATGAGATGCTCAAAACAAAGTCAGAAAATTGGCCTGTTAGTTCCCAGAACTATTCTCCTCCTATCACTGTCATTCACTGACAATCAGGGAAAAAAACCCACAGAAACTTGTAAGAAAATTATTCTTTTAAAGAACAAAAAATTAAAAGAAAATATTTTATGAAAAATATTCTCAAGATATATTTCTCTCCTGAAAAAACCCTTTGCTATCTAGTTTCTTTCAAAGATTTGTACACAGATAAGAGGTAGTATGGATGCAAAAGATGTGGCTTTTGCTTCTTGAAACATTGTGTGTTGAACAATATCGGGGCATCTGATTAAGTAAAAGCCATCAAGAATTTATACTTTTTATACAGTTCTTGTGATTGCTTTTTTCATTACAGAAAATGTCCCACAGTGGAATAAATGACAAAATTATTTTTGTCTACATTATTTTTTGTTTATTCTATTTTGTCTGTAAAAGTAAAGCTCTATGGAATGAAAAATACCCAACCTTTTATTTCAAAAGGTTTCCTAAAGAAAAACTGAAATTTGCCAGTTTTTCAATAGAAATCACCCTAAACAGGAAACACTTAAGAGCGAATTAAACTCTTAAAGTCATTGCTACCAATTTCTTTCCCTTAAAACAGTGCATTAAGAAAAACCAAAAGTGAAATGGTATTGCCTAATCCAGACTGAGAAAATACCCTGTATGGAAATACATCTGCTGGGATCTCCACTGCTGGAAGAACTGCAACACCTTTAACCAAGGGCAGCAGGAATAATGCTGGAAAGAGGCAAACCTGGAAGAATCACACAACTCCACACGACTAAGGAACAACTGACACCACTCCTTTGCACAGTGCACAGATATTTCTGTGTACAGATAGATTTGTGTACACACACACACACATTCTCTAGTGCAGCCTCTCCTCTCCCTGCCCCTGGACTCTGACTGCTCTCCAGCTCTCCCTGCCCTAGAGGCAGGCAGGGCAGCCCTGCTTTCCTTCAGCCATCTGCAGAATTACTATTTGGGCAACCAATTTTGGCACTTTGGACAGATGATTCCCTTTCCCCAACCCAGCCCAGCAGAATATCTTCTACCCCTTCATCACTGATGCATTTTTACCCCATTGCTACATTCCTCTACTGATCCCAACTGTGGCCACTGTGGCTGTGAGCATTTGTTCTCCCTTTAAATACAAACAAAACTAGTGCTTCTTGCTTCAGCTTCTGTGCAAACACCCAACCCTAAAATTATCAGTCAAAGGTTTAATTCTTTCAGTAAATAAAAGGAAATACCTGAATATGGTTGGGAAACCTCTGACCATCATCATCTTGGAAAGATGATAGGCACTATTTGTTTTCAAGTTTACACATTTGAAAAGTAAAGTGTATGTCTCCTAAGCATGACAACAACTCAGTCCACCCTTTGCAGTGTAGATGCATGCCTCAGATATGCAGCTTCCCTGGGAATGGCATGTACTGCTGTTGAAATTCAAACTTGTTTCTCAAATGCTGCTCTATAATTTGTAGCACTAAAATCAAATGACCATCAACAAAAAAGGACCAAAAAAATTAAAAGGGAGTGAGGGACAATGAGACAGAAACTATTTTCAAAATCCAATTTGGCTTCACACTCAAAATGCACTTATATTTTGACAGGGGGATATGTCCATACTGCAACTTAACATTTATATGGTTTAGCAGAGACAACCAAAACGTTATAAAAACAGACCATAGAGTGGGCCAGCAACTAAGGTGTTTTAAAGTAACTTTTTGTCCTGAATAGAATTTTTCTAAGTCCCACTTTTGGCTGTACAACCGGTTTGAAGAGAAATCCAGTCCTGGCTTCCCGCGTGGCTCTGTCTCTTAGTTCACATAGTAAAGCCAGTAGACAATGTTGAAGAAGGAAAAAACCACGGGGAAGAAGATGCGGGACCACCGGTCGATGGCGTTGACGTCCGTCAAGTCCGGGATGGTGATTTTGAGCTGCGAGGCCCTTCTCCGTAGCCGGCTCTTCTTCTGGGCCACGTGTCTCTCCAGGGCGTTGCGGCCGAAGCTGTGCCGGGGCAGCCCCGCCTTGCGGTACTGGATGCTGGACGTGTCGTAGGCCAGCATGGTGCTGCGGGGGTCCCCCAGCCCCATCACGGCCTCCGAGGCGGCCATCTCGTTCTTGATCTCCAGGGTGCTCAACAAGATGTTCTCATGGGGGTCCATCTGCAAAACACCAAGAGCAGAGTCAGCGGGGCAGGGGAACCCGGCGGTGCCAACCCGAGCCATGCTGGGACAGGGGAGATCTGACCCTGCTGGGAGGGGAGATCTGACCCTGCTGGGATGGGAGATCTGACCCTGCTGGGAGGGGAGATCTGACCCTGCTGGGAGGGGGAGATCTGACCCTGCTGGGATGGGGAGATCTGACCCTGCTAACTGGGGGTGGCAGCCTCTCTAAGGGACTTCAGGCATTCACTGTCATCTCTTGGGAACTCAGGTAGCAACAGGGCCAGTACAGGTCAGTGCAATAAAGGGCACTGCCCCAGAGCCACGTTCAGCAAGCACGAGTTGGATGTGAAGCCCACACTCAGCTCCTGAAGGTGGGATTCTGGGAAGGGTATCTGGGGAAAAAATTGAAATTTCCAGGGGTTTTGAAGGGAAATCAAATGGAAAAGGGTCTGCTTTGTTTCGGTCTTTCTTCCTTCAAATGAAAGCTTCTGCTCTGACAGAAATTTCAAGTATTCACAAGGTCTCTCTGTCTCTCTAAACAAGGCACAGGGCACTGCACAAGTGAATGCACATTTTCTGCCCCTATATTCCAACCAGCACTGGTGTTCACCTGGGACAAGGCACCAGCTAACTGTACCCATGTGGGAACTCTATTCCCCAGTGCTAATGAGTTGCATAAATACAATGCATGCTGTGGAGACCCCAGTGCTGGGGCAGCAGAGATCTCCAATTTCAAGCAAGGAAAAAGAGATGCAGAATGTAATCACATCAAATGCACACTGAACAATTGTTTCAATGGGTAGATTTAGCTACTATGCATTTTTTTAAAGGCAGCTCAGTGAAAAAAATATTAATGCAATGTTGTAAAGAAACCCCTTAGACAATCAAGAGGATTTCAAAGATAAGGAACTAAATTCTACTCTTAGGCAATCTGGAGTAGATCTGAAGTATGGCAGGAGAAATTAAAAATAATCCATTTATAGAAAACAAATATGAAGTCATTTAGGAAGTTCTAATTCTCCTCAGCCTTCCCTCTAAATATACATTTTGAATTGTGTGATTAAAGAGTATAATTAACTAAAAATACTTTAAAAAGAAATAACAGCTAATGAGAAGCTAATTAATTACACTGCCTTAGTGATGGTAGTGCAGATATACTCCAGGCCAAATAAGAGACAAACTTGTCCCAGAGCTCCTGTAAGAACAGCTCAGCCACATGACTCGTGTACAGAATATATTCCATGGTTATTGCTCAAAGTGCACAAACTGCCACTTTTGGGGATTTCTGAACAATAATATGGAATTCTCCCATTCTGTAATGTTGAGAACCCAGCCATCAGCAGCAGGTACCTCCTGCACTACCCAACACACTGTATTTGCCATCATTAATCCTCTCTGGAATTAATGGGGTGAGAACAGTTGCTTCCAGCAGCACCCCCTGCACAGGTTCTGCTCTGGGAACTCACAGAAGTACTTTGGACCTACTGAAACACAGTCATTTGAGTGATTACATCTGTTCAGTGATGCACAAAAACTGCCATTGCTGAGATGCCACATTTCCCTCTCTCTCATGTTTTTTCCCACCCAATCTGTGTGAGTTTGCACCCCTCTAGTTTCAGTAGATTTGAGTTTTAAATCAGATGTAGTGACTTAATGTGAAGTGACCAAAATCTTCCATTTTTGTTTGCTTTCCATCAAAGCCAGATGAAACCTTTGAAGTTTCTAGTGTGCTAGGGAAATCCATCTTTTTTTTCAAAAGCACTGGAAAAACGGGAAAGTTGAGCTGAAACTCAAGAAAAATTAATTTAAGCATGATCCTGAGCATGGTGAGGAAACAGTGTGTTCTAGCCAGGAAGGCCATCAAACTGGTTCTCACCTGCATCAGACAAAACTAAGGTAAAAACAGTATTCTGCCATTAAAACAAACAAAAGCCTCCATGTGGAAATGGTGTCAAACAGATCTATGAAACTCTGAAAGGAGCTTTCAAACATTTTCTTATAATGAGTGCAGTTATTTAGAAATTCTTATGTGATTTTTGGGGGTAAGACAAAATGGGCTGTCCTTTTTGTTATAAGATCTCAGACCAATCATAAGACTCTCGGGATCCTAAAAATAAAAGCCATTAACTACAGGCACTTGGCATTCACTGATCCCAAGAATGCCTAAAACCAAAAGAGGTAAGTGTCTCACAAGAGGGGTGCAAAGTCATTTGGAAACTACATTTTCCATAGTTTCATGTAACCTTAAGAGAAGGAGTTTCAGTTCCAGTGACATCAGGGGAAGTTTCACACAACATCCACCAACGTGATGGTTTTACCCCTTAGCCCAGAGCCTGCCCATTTTCACCTCAATGTTCTGCATTCTAAAATACTATTTTTGGAAAGATTTTAGTGCCAACAAATGTGTTCACATCTTAAATCTTCTTAGGATGAATCTACTTTAAGCATTTTATCCTTTAGATCTGCAATGATATCAGAAATTTGAGTTCTCTTTACATACTTGCACACATTCTGTGAAGCACATGCAAGGAAGTTACTTTAGTGTACTGGAGTTAGATACAGACACGTTTTAGTGACAGAGCATTCCTTCAGTTAACTTGTTTTCTTAATACAGCAAACTGCTGCAGATATCTGGTAATCCTGAAGCAGTTAGTAAGATTAGTGATGCTGGGCAGAAAAAAAACATTTAGCAATATTCTAAACTATCTTCTGGGGCAAAGTGTCTTCTCCTGCCATGTATCACACTGATATCAGAGCTGAAGGACAGCATTTTTCAATATTCCAAGAATTTTTCAGAAGAAATAATGAAAAATACAGGAAATATTAGTGATGGGCGAACCTTCAAGTGTTACAATAACCAGGTAAACACCACAAAGTTCAGGTGCTTCTTGAGCATTCAGTTGACCCTCCTGCACCTGAAACAGTGAATTGACCATAAGAGCAACTGCATTTTTTCATGGTACTTTGAATCCCCAATGTAAAGGAACTCCCAAGGTTCCAATCCAGAAGTACAAATGAAGAAAGAAAGAAAGAAACACCAAAGAACCCAGAATAAATTAACCCAACCCTCCAACCTTGGACAAAAGGCTCCCCCTTGTCAGCTCAGAGAAAGCTGGGAATGAAATTTCCACCAAGTAGGTTCGCCCAACTCTAAATAATTAAACATGCTCTTGGAACTAAGTGACCCTGGCCAGAATGCCAGGGAATCCCAGCTTTGCCAACAGCAGCCCCCGTTCCAAGGATCCCAAAGCGCTTTAGGAGCATCCCAAAGAAGAACCACTTCAGTTCCCAGTGAAGCACCATCACCCCAGAGGTGAAATGTGGTGACTGACAGTGAGAACAACAACCAGATTTTACTGAGGAATGGAGAATGTTGTAGCCAATTGGAACCATGGTGGGTGGTGGTGGTGGGAATGCTGGGCAAGCAGAACAGTCACAGAAATCCAGCTCTGGGGCTGAGATGACCACGCCATAAAAAAGTGCCATGGGATCTTTAATGACCAGAAATGGCCAAGACCTGAATTTTAAGTGTCTGAGGATAAAAACATTAGAAAACAATGAAAGATACCTTTGTTGAATACATTTCTGGACAATGATATGTGCCAATTATTCTTCTGTCCTGTAAGTTAATAAAATCAAGACCAGTTTCCTTAGAGATAAGGCGGCTATTATCTTTCATTTAAAATTAAAGCACTCTAGGGTAATAATAGGACAACTAATTAAAATATATAGGGACCTCTAAGCCAACAATTAGGTATATTCAGGTATATTTTGGCTTTAGAGGTGCTATTACTGCCTTGCTCTGCTCCTCAAGGTAACATAACATTGTGATGTAAATGTAATTTTTCCAACTGGTCACTTGACCAAGGAAGGTATGATGATATGAAAACAATTATTAAAATTATTCTGGGGAAAAAGTAAGTGTAAAAGCGGTTTCAAAAGGAGGTGGAAGAAGGTTAAAAAGGTCTCTTGGTGTTGAAGGATTGTTCAGCCATAGAACACAGACTCTTTATGGTGAACAGGAGGGTTCAAACTGAATGGAGAAATTCCCAGGGACGGGAAAGGAAGGGAGGATGAAGATGAAAAAGCAGCAGCAAGTACTATGGAAATAAAAGGTGAAAGCAGAAGCGGAGCAGAAATGACCAGAGCTCAGCAACCAAGTGAGAGGGTGAGGTTTGGATAAATCAATCTTAAAACTGGATGACAAAATATATGGTGCAAATGATATTCGTTTATAGGTCCAGGTCAGGTGGAAGAAAAGGTGACTCTGGAGCCCTGAAAGAGGCCACGACCTTTTTGGTGGTCTCAAACAAAGGGAATACAGAGAAAAGTGCAGAAATGTTACCATTATATATTCTCCCTGATACCTAGAAACTCCAAAATGATGGCTTTCTCGAGGAATTCCTCTCACTTATACATTAGCAAATGTAAAATACAACAAAATTACAACTCCCACACACATACATCAGGAATCCTCCAAGGATGACCAGATCTCTGAACAACTGACTTTCAGTAAAGCAGCACATTGGTGATGATGCTCTGCTGTTCTACCAAACACAACAGGATGACACTGATGAATTGAGAGGATATAATACTGACATTCCTGCTTTCTCATGTACTGTCCATTTTCACCCACACCCTTCAATTACAGGCAGGCACTGGTGGCTCCTTTCATGGTAGAATGGCTCAGAAGCTGTGGACACAACAGGGATGAAATTTCCCATGGAAAAACCTTCTGAAACAAAACAGTTGTAAGTTGAAAAGAAATATCCTTTTGTTAAGCAGGGCTGCCATTAGCCAAAGAAAAATCTGGAGAGCTAAACCATGAAGTTTAAACTGGAAGTACCCACCAACACCTGAGATGTGGCATTTGTGTCCTGTGAACTGACATTCTGAAGAACTGAAGACAGAAATACAGCTCCCTTTCTCAATGAAGACCTACATGCCATGCCTAGATATATAATTTAATTTGTTCTGGATAAAGACCTTGGTGTTATCTATAGCACAGTGTCCCACCTCTGCACATCTGAGCTGTGCTTGGAAAACCAGTAACAGCCCATTCCTGGCTCCTGTCAGCACCTCTGGCAGGATCAGGGGGAGTCTGCAGCAAAGTCTGAAGCACTTCTGGTGTCATGGGGATGTTCCCCCTCCCCAGCAAGGTCTGAGTTCCTGCCTGGAACCACTGACTGGGGCTGCCCTGACCACGCCAGGCAACGTGGGGAGGTACATCAGCTCTGCATGAGCTGCTCTCAGGTTCACTCTGGGAGAAAAAAGAATTAATTATTTCCAAATGGCACCTGCCTAAAGCTATACAGACATTTTTGACAAGATAAGCCAGTCTGCTGAGATAAAGCTACAGAAATTTATAGCACACAAATGCCTAATATTTCAAAATATTGTCATATTCAACAATGGCTTCAGCAGTGGAACAAACACTGCATTTCCACTGTCTGTACAAATCTGAATTTCCTGCCAGCACTGGAGTTACTGTTTATGAAACTAGGCTAGAATGCACTGGCTCAGGTTGTGTTATACCCCTGAGATTTGGGTCAGGCTGTACAGTACATGGTCAGAGGGCAGTAAAATTGGGATGACTCATAATTACAGGTTACTTTGCTTGGTGTCAGGTCAGAAAATTCAGAAAAACTCTGAAAATTAAATAAGAATGTTTAGGTTCTTGACCTTTTTAAAACCTAGAAATCTAAGCAAAAAAAAACTCTAAGAAACCTGCAAGAGTTAAAAACAAAAGAAAGTGAGAAAAAAATGCAAGATCTGAACATGGAGTTTTAACATTGCTCTAAATGCTTGTAAATTGATTTCTAGACATCCAGTTTTACCTTCTGATATACATTACTTTGATCATGGTCTTCAGTAACACATCAATAACTGAGTTGCAAGTATTGTGGGATTACAGAGAAATGGTTGAAAACACCCTTCCTTCGGCACCCATGGCTTAAACACAGGATTCCACATTTGAGACACTGCAGAACTATTCCCACATCAAATGACAGAGGCTGAAGCATCTTTAGTTTGGTGGCATTTGAATAAAAACCACAAAATACGGACTTGTCCAAACTGCTGCCCAGAATCCAACGTTCTAAACCAAAACCAAGCAGAGAACCAGGTGAGGTCAGGACTGTTGTTGGAAACGGCCCCAAACAGGAACCCAGGGGGCAATCAATGGGATACTGGGGTCCTGGAGGCATCAGCACCTTCCCAAATACCCCAGAAACAGCCCTGGGGTTCTGGAGCAGGGGGGATAAATCCCCTCAGCCAACCAAGAAAGAGAAACAGGGAGTGCTGGGATTCTGGAGAAAAACACCTTCCTCCCTCTCCCTTTGGGCCGAGGCCGTTCAACCCAAACTGATCTCTGGGAAAGGGAAGGAATGAACTCTGGAGTGAGGCCTCCATGATGTGTCATCTCCAGCCTGGCAGCAAACACTGCCCAGAACCAGCAGCAGGTGCCTGAGTCAGGAGATGAGTTTGCAGCTTTGCTGCAGCAGAGCCGTTCATTTACCAGGACAAACAAATATTAAGGTTAGTCGTTTTCAACTGATTTCCTGAGACATTTGCTCTCAATCCAAACTCAGAAACAATGCACATACACATCTGGAGGAGACAATCTTCTTCTTTTTCAACCTACAAGAACATATCACAATGGTGGGCTTAAATATTAGTTAAGAATTCTAACTGGAAAGTTTTCAAATCTGAATCACCTTCATATTGATGTTATGACAGTAAAAATAAGGTTTATCAGTTGCTCCTCTAAAACAGCTTCTGTAAGACCCTGAAGATGTTATTTTTCTTGTCTGAAGTCAAACATAATGTGCAAGAACTCTGCAGCACATCCCTGATGTGAGAGTGGGTGGCCTGGATGACAGTCTACCAGTGTTTCATCCACCTGACCACGACACACTCACTTGTCAACAGATTCAGGCTTGTGATTTTGGGGAAGACAGAATTCTTGGGCCCAGCCCAAAATAAAACATGGCCAGAGGCATCATGAGGTCCGAGGATAAAACTCTGGAGAGAAACTGCAACTAATTAAAAAAAAAAATGAATAAAAAGTCCTGAGATTTTTCTATGGAAAATCACTGAGAAGTTTTTGTTACAGAAAAAAGAAAGATGAATTTCTGATGTTTTACAACAAATTTCCAAATTAAAAAGGATCCAGAAAAGTAGTTCTTATGATCATGTTCAGTGCTGATTTAGAAGCCCGAAACAGAGCCAGCTGCACAACTACAGACACTGCAAGGCTCAGAGCACCAGTCCTGACAATACTAAAATGGAAAGTGCTCTGCTTTCAAATTATGAAAAAACAGTCTGAATTTGTTGACTGAATTAGAACATTCCTGTATGATTGACTTGTACACTGATAGTCTGCTTTTCTGGAGAGTCTAACATTTTGTCACTCATTTCAAAGTGAGTGACAAGAATGAAGGAACTTTGATGCCAAGATGTGGTTAGTCATTTCAAATTTGTTTCTAAGTAAATTTCCGTGTATGCAAAATATACATCAATGTTATGTACCACTGCAAACTTTGTATTATACTTGTTTTTGTGTATGCATTAATTCTAGAGAAAATAAATATCATAGTTTTCTCCATGACATTGTGGTGGCCTTTTGTGCCTGTAAACTTCAACCAAATTTGAGTTTGATTAGTTAAACATATCACAGTTCTATAGCAATATATATATATACAGATACACCTGCAAAATATAAATTGATGGACAGTCAGAGAACTTCAGAACACATTTAAAATTAGAGAAAAATGACTTGGATTTTTGGCAATAGTGTGCAGTTTGTTCTTGACACACATAATTCTATGGAAACAAGAGAGAAGAACAGTTACCAACATGGAAATATGGCAGGTGTTTGTGTAAAACAGGATTATGTTCAATGTTACCCAAGTTTCATCAAGTGCATTTCAGGAAGGGTGATCTACCTGGAATGTGAAAGCTATTGATGAGTTAATATGACCACCTATGGGCTTCTTTTTAATTGAAAATGATTATATATTGCATCTGCCTCCTGCTACAAAAAGGAATGACACAAAAGCTGAGGACTCACCCCCCACATCAGCTCTCTCTTCAAACAATCCCTACGTGCAACTGGGTTTTTGACTTTCTCCTCCAGCTTTATTATCAAATACTTCAATAAACAAAAAACCTTCCATGCCAGCACTGAAACTCATATGAAGATGCTTTTCCCACCCAAAACTGCAGCAGCTTGAAAGCAACAACCTCAGAATTTCATCAAGTAAAACATGTGCTAAACCCCTGGATTTCTGGAGCCCTTCCTTGCCAGTTACCTGCAGGAACCTTTGAATACTTACAGAATACAGGGACAGAAAATGGTCCAAACAAAATATTACATGAAAATAATCATATTGATTTAGGCTGGGTGACCCTCACTGCTGCATCCTTCAGGCCAGCTCACAAGAGTTAAGTTTCTGGCACCTCTATTACCAGAAAGTTGGGTTTGTTTGGAGGACATGAGCAAGGACAGGCAAGAAGTGGTTTTTGCACATGGTTTTGACATGCAAGAAGTTTAGGGAGAAGTCTCAACAAGTTTTTGCACGGGGAAGAAAGTTAAATTGAAGTTTCTCATATTCCTAA